TCCTTCTGTTGTCTCATACCATTATGTTGCCGATGGCAGAGACATCCGGGGGCACAACAGTTGCCAGGGACTACGCTGAGTACACATTGTGAGATGGAAGCAGAAGAGAAAATGTGGAATCTTTCAGTTCTACCCAGGGCAACAGAGAGGTGGGTAGTGTGATCATTCCTGTTCTTTGTACGCAATATTCTTTTTCCACGTGGCAAACAAGTTTCTACCCATGTCTTCCACATTTTTAATGGAGATTCAAAAATGCAATCCATTTAGCCGGCCCTATATCTCAAGACTCTGACTTACCCCCATCCACCCCCCACCCCACCCCTCAAAACCCAACCAAACAACAAAAAACCCAGACCCTGTCCCTTTTGGCTGTGTACTCCCTTGATCTTGGGTCAAAAAAGATTGGTTAGTCCTGGCTACCAACTACTTCATGTGTAGTTCAGGCTATGCCTGAACCCTGCTTGGCAGTTCTGATGCCATTCTAGGATCCACGTTGCATTTAAAACCTGTCCGGTAAGTGCAGGACCACTCACCACTTGGAGGGAGACAGGAAAGGCCTAGCTGCTCCTGTGCAGATTCCCAGTGTCTGAGCCTCGGTAGGGTCGCTGTGAGTCGCAACCAGCTTGAGGGCAGTGGCTTTGGTGGGTCTTTTCTCACAGCGATTCCTCTAACCTCGATGCTGACCCGATCTTACGCCCTAAGGGAGATACGAGGCCTGGCAAGTGCGGGACACCACAGACTTTACCCAGAAGATCTTCGCACTGGGCTCCAGCATGCAAAACAGATGGGACAGCTCGTTGCTGAAGGGTCTTGATGCACAATGCATTAGTCCAGGCTGACTAGAGAAACAAATCCAAGACACTCATATATAAGAAAGAACTTTATATAAAAGAGTAATTGTATATTAAGAAAACATCCCAGTCCAGTCCATATCAAGTCCGTAAGTCCGATACTAGCCCATATGTCCAATACCAGTCTATACTCTTTAGACTCTGCATGCAACACGACGCAGAATGCAGGAAGATCACAAGCCAGTGGGTAGAAAGTCTTGTGGATCCTGTGGCAGGGGAAGCATCTCAACGCTGGAGTAGGTCTCCACATGGCTCCTCCAGTTCCGGGCTCTGGCTCCATCAGCATAGCTCCATATGGCTTGTTAACAGGAAAGTCAAGCAGAGTCGGTCTCTGGCCTCCAGTGAGCTATTTCTCTCCTTATCGCCTCCAAATGAGGTCATCAAGCTGTGACCTGCTTGATAGGCTAAACTCTACCCCTTCACTCTTAATAGTCTCAAGTGGACACCAGATTATGTAACTACCACACCCAGCCCCGAGAAACGGGCATGCCTGACAGAGCAATTTGTACAGCAGGTCACTCAAAGAAACCTGCCCAGCCACTGTCCTATGACCACCCTGTAGTAAACGGAAGAGCAGGAACATTTGAAGTTACACTCCCTCACCAGCCACATAATCCACACAATGCGGAAACACTCCATTACCTCTTCTCTCATTTCCCTACAAACTTTTTAAAAGACCCCCTTGCCTATGTGCTCCATCTGTTCTCCACTGAATCCCTCTCTTAGGTAGCAGGTTTGGCTCCTCTGCTTGTCTTCCAGCTGATTCAGATCTTACAGCGGTTAGCTCCCATTCCCTATGTACGAGAACCGTCTCTGCCTCATTGGCCAGAGGAGTGGCCGTCTTCTGCTTTTACTTCAACCAGACTCTGGGATGTTGTTCTACAGTGTGCTCTCTGGCGATGGGCAATGAGAAAACATTTCCTACGCTGGACCAAACATGTATTCTAAAAAAAAATTAGAAAGCAGGGAGACGTGCTCGCTGAGCACTGGCGTGTGCTTTCTATGCTGACCACCCGTTCACATCCTTGTCTGTGCAGGGCGAAGTTCACTGTGCCAGGGAGCAGTGTGTGCAGGACCCAGGAGACGCCAACTTGACGATGCCACGGGTTGCATTGGCCACTCCAAGCCTGGGACTTCCCACTGTGCCGGCGTCCCTCCCTCCTAACACAGTGCTGGATAGGGGTCGTGATGAGCCGGAGCCGACTGGAGTGAGTGTTTCTTAAAGTCCAACTTGGGATTCTGGGAGGGGGGTGCTGAAATGGGGACAATGATGTTAGCATTGCTTCTTCGATGCTAGGGCCAGTGAAGTCACTTGTTCTGCTTACTGGCCCACCCAATGCGAGGAAGTAAACCGTCACTTTTAAGTTCTTCACATTGTACCATAAATTATTTAAAAATCACCTATATCCCCAACTGTTTAAAATTCCAGTCTAGGGTGATTTGTGGCCGTTTCTTCTCCCTCTGGGACCCTCCCTGTTGCAGGCGCTCCCAGGTGCGTCGTCAACAAAGCCAGTGATCTTGTCGTACCCTTTCCATTTTAGCTATTACCATGCTCAATTACAAATGTTAATTGCTGTTTAAAAAAACACAAACAATCGCCTTTCCGTTGTCTCTCTGGGGGTGTCCCCAGAAGTGAGGTTTGCAGGCAAGATCTTTAAAATCCCTGACACTTCCACCACGTATGGAAGATTATCCTGTAAACAACTACTACCTAACAACGTGTGGCGTTTGGGTTTCCCTGTTCTGTCTGGACCGTGCATCGCTTCTTCAGATTTCCTCTTTAAAAGGAAGGCCGCACAGGCCTTGTTCTGCTCACTGGCCCTCAGTTACGGGTCCCCGTCTTGGCCCAGAGATAGGCCAAAGTCGAGGGGAAAAGCACTGTGCTTGCGACAGCGGTCCCGGCACTGAATTTTAACATGTAGCAGTTGTGGAAAGGGAGTGTTTTGTTGTATCTTTGCCACAATTAGGGAAAAAAATAGAATTGCACGAATAGCCAGGAGGACAAGGAAGGAGGAAATGGTCTAGAATTGAATATGGTGATAATTGTACAACTCTGCCTGATATGACCGAATTATTGAATTGTAGGGACTTGTGGATGAAGTGCTAATAAGAGTTAAAAGAACAAAACAAAGCAAACTACAGCTGTAGTCGTGTGACAGTTCAAAAGGCCCCTTCCAGCTAACAGGTAAGTTACCAGCAAGCCTAGCAACCAAATAACCAAGAGCCAGGAGGCACCCTTCCCCCACCCCTGTGAAATCACCAGTGTGCCAGCTGTGACGTCAGAGAGCTCAGCGCCCAGAAGCTCCCCCAGCCTGCTCCGGGCACCGCTGGGCTGCCAACTCGTAGCCGGGCACAGAGCCAAGGCACTCAGAGATCAAACAGAAGCAGGGGGAGGGGGGCAGGAGCATCTTCCCCCCCGCCCCCCACGGGGGCCTCTGGCCTCTGGCTCCGGATCTGCTGCCTGCAGGAAGCAGGGTTTTGGTGGAATGGGCCGGGGATGGTGGCTGGGCAGTGACATCAAAGCTAACAGGGGAAGTTATTCCAGAGGAAATACAGAAAAGCACCAAGTTTATGGAAGGGGCGCTGGCCCCCGGGAGAGTTCTTGACAAGCAGTTTCGGTCCACGTCGTGTAGTCTTGGTGTGCGTATGTCACAAAACATGGAGACCGGGAACCTAAGGGGAAGAGGGATGGAAGAGCTTTGACCAAGTCTCCTCATTGCAGTCTTTAATCTTATGTCTGTTGGGTCCCTGCGTGGTGGCGTGCATATACAGTTCAGCACCCGACTTTGGCCCAGTGGTTGGCTGGGTGCAGCGGAACCCACCCAGAGGCTCTTTGTACAACGGGCCCGGTGGTCTGCTTTCTAAAGATGGCAACTTTGAAAACCCTACGGGGCACTTTCCTCTGCACACGTGTCACCCTGAGCCCGCACTGACTGGATGGTAACTCACCTCGGCGTCTCTCCACGTGATTGGTCTCCACCCTGAGAGCCAGAAGAGCCCTCACCCCTTTACGAAGTCACACTGCCACACTCCTGGGTCACCCTGCACACCATTCGGTTAAATTTCCAAGTGGACCTCGGCAAGAGACCACGGTGACAGCTGTAAATGGTTTTAACGACTTGGTGCGTATACAATAAGAAACCTCAGAGATAATTTTCAGATGAGGCTTTGGTCACAGCTGAATATAAAACCTCTGTAACAAGTAGGACCCCCGAACATAAATCGGCCCCGTCCCGTCCTGGTTCAAGTTCAGGACTAAATGAAGAGAAATTGGAGAATTTCCAGAGGCTAGTAATGAAAATGATTAAAGGACCAATGATGAAAGGTTGAAGGAATTGGGATTACTTAGCCTGAAGAAAAATTTGAGGGGTGATTTAATGGCAATCTTCAAGTACAGCATGCGGAGGGCAATCTTCAAGTACAAGGATGGTAGCCAGCTGCTGCCCAGCTGCGTGTCGGAGGAGGGCAACAGAACGAGTTCCAGCAAGAGAGCTTTCAGTTAGACTGACTAGCAGCAGTAGCAGTGGTTCTCCCACTAGCTCATGGGGTGGGATGCCACCGTGAGAGCACCTGACAAAACGGATGCCGTCGACTGACGTTGGGTAGCATTTGCTAGCTCTGATCCCATCTCATTTCCTAATCAAGGGAAAGCGGTGGAAATGACAAATTCAAACATCGGTGGAAAGTGTTGCTTTGGGTTAAAACCTTCCTTCTGCAGGGGAAGGGGGGAACAAACCAACGAACCCCTTCTGCCCAGGGCGCGTGGTTTTGGAAGGCCAGGTTGAGGACAAACATGCGGTAAAGGTAGAACGTACCCGGCAGGGACTCTAGTGAGCATAGTGAGGGGGCAGCAGGGGCCCACTTGAAATGGTCAGAAAAGGAGACTCCTGTCCACTTGCCTCTTCTTTCTCCTCACCCTCATGCATACCTACTCCTGGGGCGGCGCAAGAGGCCAGGCCACTCACTGACACTGAGGATTTGCACGTAGGAGAGGGAAAGGCGAGGGGCTTGCCTTCACAACAGGTGGCCTCACGTGCTCTGGCCAGCGAGGATGCCCGGAGCCATCCCGCCTGGCCCGAGGTCTGGATTTGGTCCTCATTACTGAGGTTCAGATGGTCAGGAATGACATCCTTACTTCATACAATGACCTTGTTTTCCCCTCCTTTTTAATATTTTATTACAAAGCTTCTTTTAAAAAATGCTCAGCACGTTAACTCAAACTGGAATGACAAACGTGTTAGATGACAGTTTGGGGCCAAGGCTATGCCTTGTCATCTTTAAAAAAAAGGAAAAAGAAAAGAATAGGCACATCAATGCTTCTTTCAACAACTGGCATAAAATCCCACTAATCGGCTAATAAAAACAGATACAAATACAGAACATTGAAAGTAATAACAATTCAAGTGCTGGGCTTTTTACAACAAGGGGTGAGAAGGAAAGAAATGAAAATTCACTGCAAACTGATCTGCCAGAAGGATCTGTTAAGGTTTACTTTAAAACAAAAAACCCAGAAGAAGACGACGGCGGTGAAAAAGGACAGCCACTGCCACCAACAGCGTGAGTTTGGCTGTCCCAATGTCCGTGGCTCCGCAGAACACCTTCCAGAGGAGGAGAGAGGACATTCACAGAGAAGGTGTCTCTCAGAAAAAGCGGGCTTCTTTCATTCTGTTCTCCTTTCCAGCGCTTCCGCCACCTCGGACTTGTTCTTTCAATGTTCCGGGCGAGCAAAATATACAAGACAAGTGAAAACTACCGAGTGTAAGTTGAAACAAAAAATTCAAGTTAAAAAGAAAAAAAGGAGAAGCAAACATACAGACTGATCCTTCGGCCGAGAGTCCCTACTCTGGGATGCTGGCGAGCGAGCAGTTGTTGAGGGCAGGCAGACACGGCCAAGTGACTGTCCTTGCCAGAGGGTTACAGGTATAAAACCCTCCTCTGGGAGGTTCTCGGCAGAGGTGGGGGAAGGAGGCTTCCCAGTGGACCCAGGGCCTGCTAGCATTCGTGCGCGTGTGCTTTCTAATGTTCTTGGTACGAAACTTTTTTTCAATGTTTGATTTTGAAACTTGGCTCTTGCAGGAGACGAAAGGGGGTTGGTTGGCAGTGATTGTCTGTGGATCGGTGGCATCTCTAGCAGCGACCTCGGGATGTGGGTGGTGTCAATTCTCCTGGGAGGTTGGCTGCGCAAGCCGTGCAGACAGTCAGGGTTTTCAACAAGCTTCCATCTCCAGAAGGGGTCCTGGGGTGGCCGCCTTGGCTTTGCACGTTGGGAATGAGTTCCGTTTTCCACCTCGGGAAGGAACAGACGAAATGCTATTAATAGGACTTTGTCACAGACCTTGGAAAGACTGTGCGCCTCTGTGACACACAGCACATGCTTTAAGTCTCTGAATTCAACTCAAGCCACGTCCATCTGGCCGATGGCTCAACGCGGTTCGCCCCTTGGTAGTCCCAAATCCTCAGAATACCTTACACAAGAAGCCTAACTTAGTCCCCAATATATGCATACATCTGTCCTGAAATGTGATGGGAAGTAGATTGAACATGTTGGGTCATGGTAAAAAACAAAATAGGTGTTTGAAAGACACTAGTAGAAATGGCCAAACGCAAGTTGAGAGGAGGGTCATGCATGAATGGCCAGCTTGAGAACTGTCCGCTTAAAGTGCTTGTTCTCTTGAGTCCACTGTGGGGCACCATAGTCTGCATTTACCCATGACCGTGACAGCCCAGTTCCCAAGCCACCAACGCACTGCTCACTCCCGCAGCCCGGGACAGGGAGACTCCAGTTCTCAAGACTCCTTCCCGCCCAGCAGCCTTAGCCTGGTAACGGGCAGGGAGTTGAGTCCTTCTCGAGATGGACAGAGGCAGCAGCAGCTGCAGCAATGAGCGCTTTCGAGCACAGGGCAGTGAGGACGGCACAAGCCCGGGCAGCGTTTTGTGCCGTCGTGTACCTAAGCTCGCTATGGCGCGAAGGCATCTAGCAACAACACAGACGACAAAAGCATCGCTAGCTGCTGGCTAGAGTCCCGCTGGCGTCGTGGGTAACATGTTGGGCGGCAGTTCAAAACCACCGGCTGCTCCTCGGGAGAAAGAAGAGGCTTTCTACGCCAGTAAGAGTTAGCGCCACAGACACCCACAGGGGCAGTTCTAGCCTGCCCTGCGGGGTGGCTAGGAGTAAGATGGTAGTGTGTCTGGTTTGAATTCAGGGAGGTGTGGGCTTGCAGTGACCCTGTGAACAGCCAATGACACCGATCTGGGGTCCTGCGCCATCTTCGAGCGTCATGGTTGAGCTCATTATTGTGGCCACCGGCCTTTTGAAGGAAATGTTACTGATTATTAACAATGCTAATGGAATTTTTTAAAAAAGAATCCTCAAAGCTTTAAGGATCTGGAATTTGTGAAAGATGGATCGAAACCCAATCGAACACGATGGGACTAAGCCAACCTCAAGGAAGAGAACTTGGAGGGGATCGGTTCCTTCAGTCCGGGCTCAGCCCAGCGAGCATCTCTCCTTTGGCTGCAGAGCGGGCTCAAGGCAGCCCCTGACTAGGATCCCCCCAAACCCTGTGCTTGGGGCTGTGGCACCCTTGTTGCCAGCAGGACTCCCCTTTGATCCTTGTAGGAGCTACCAGGATAGGACACCTTGACGCTTTCTATTTGAGCGGAAAGAGACATTAGAGGAGAAGAAATAGAAGGAAGCCGCGAAAGAATTTAAAATAACCGCAAGGCCCACAGTTCGAAACCACCAGCCGCTCCTCCGGAAGAAGAGGCTTTCTACTCGTGTTAGAGTTACCGTCTCGGAAAGCCATCAGGTCTCCACGGGTCAGGGCTGACTGGATGGCAGTGCGTGTGGTTTGGCTTTTCTGAGGTGCTGGCCACCGCCCTAGTGACCCCATGAAAATGAAATCTCTGCGCAGCGACAACAAAGGGCATTTCACACAAGGGTGCCATGGCAATGGTGACAACTCCCGCCTCACAAACCAGGCTAAAAGTACCCGGACATAGGGGATTTCAAAGGCCTGGACATGCTAGCTCTTGTCACCATTGCAGCTGGCCCCAAAGCTGCACCTGCATGTGACCAGGGAGGGGCTGTGGTCCAGCTAGGTGGCAGCAGCTCCAGAGGTCACAGGAAGACCTGAGCCATGGGGTGCTGGGACCACTCCTTAGCACAGGAAGATCAAGGAAGCCCCGCCTTCCCAAAAAGCAAGGAGCCCCGCTCAAGCACGAAGCAGCTGGGAAAGGGTGGGGCACCCCACAGAGGCCTGTTTACAGGGTGTGTCGGCAGCACCGCTTGTCGAAGGCCTGGTCCAGCTTGCTCTTCCAGGGAAGGTTTCCTCTCGGCTCTAAGACAACATTCACCTTCCTGCTGGGAATAGCAGAGAAACCCAGGGCCAGGGGATCACAGTTCCCTGCGGTCCAGAGCCCCACTCCAGCGTGGGAGTTGCTAGGGCAGGTGGGGTAACTCGGGAGGGCCTGCTGGCCGAAGGACCTGGACTGTCCTATAAGGCTAACTCTGACCCTTGGGAGGAGACAACTTTTGGGGCTGCTGTGTCCCATTCTCCACCCACAGCAGCCCCCACTTCCGGCTCCCCAAGTCCTTCGGAGCTGAGCAGGGGCACAAACAAGTGAAAGTGGGGGCCCAGAGGCGGGTGGTTTACCACAAGGGCAGCATCCAACCTGGGGGACTGACAGGAGCTACTTTTTACAATCTCTATAACTTCCCCCCACTCCTGGAAAACCTGGTGTCTGGGCATCTGGCACAAGCGCCTAACCCTGTCCCATCGGGCTATGCTCCCCATTGCCCGGCAGGACAGTGCAACCAGCATTTCAATAGTCGCCGGTGAAACTGGCTGGTGACAGTGTGTCCCTGGGCTGCTCCATGAAAAAACAGCAGGGCAGTGGGGGGAGGGTGAGAAGAGGGAGGGGTCCAGGGAGAAGTCCCGCTAGCCCCAGTCCTCTTCCAATGGGAGACAGGGTGGGCCTTCCGGGGTTGCTGCCGAGATGGATGAAACCGGTCAAATCAAGATTCTTTTCAAGAAACCACAGGCATGAGGCTCCGGAGACGGGAGACTTCCCACATCTAAGGCCTCACTGGGGGGCTGCGGCTGCAGCTCTGCCAGGCCAGGCGAGCCCCGGCAGAGCCCCATCCACCAGGGCGGCGGGTAATCAAAGCGGCAATTACCGCTCCGCCTGTGGCTCCGCTTCAAAGGCGAGGCCCGGCCCGCAGATGCCACGGCTCGGGGTTCCCCCCACCGCCGGTAGGCGGCACCGCGTGGGCCCTTAGCACCGGGTCTCAGGGCGCGCAAGAACCTCCCTCTCCCGCCTTCCCTCTGGCCCGAACCCTCGACATTCTCGCAGACCAAACCCGGAGCCAAGTCCTGAGCAGCTGGTGGAGAGCAGCAAGGGTTCCGCGGGAGAAAGGCAGTTCTGCTGTCACATGGGGTCACTGTGCCCTTGCTCAGGAGAGTCTGATACAAGGTAAGGGGAAGTCTAAGTAAGCCCCAGTACACCTGTGTCTGGGACTCTGGGCGGTGGACTCAAGGTGCCAAGAGAAAAGGCAGAGATGAAGACTGCGCCCAGCCGGCCACGTGGGCAGGAGTCTTGGCAGGAGGGGGCCAAGGCACAGCGCCCACCATTGACCTTGGGAGGGGGAAGTGGGGAGGGCGGGGAAGCACATTGCCTCGGGAAAGAAGCCCGGGTCAGACAACTCACTGCTGTCTAGGTGGTGTGGTCGCGTGCTACAGGTGAGGCTGCTAACCACACACTGAGATCACCAGTTCAGGACCAAGAGGAGGCTTTCTACTCCTGGAAAGCTTTAAGGTTTCAAGAAACCCACAGGGCTGTAGAATGGGTGTGAGAGTTGGAATAAAAGCCCATTCCCTTCCTCTCCCCTCCCACTCTCAAATGTAAGGAGCAAAAAACCCCCCAAAACAAAAACCCCATCAAATGTTTCCAGCGATGACAGGGCATTGGGAGGCGAGGGGGGTGGGGCATGAGAGATTAGTTTTTTGAGAGGTGAAAACAGACACAAGATGTTAATTGAAAAAATTGCCTCACAGCCCCGGAACACACCTCCCGCCAATTGCCTTCCCTGTTTCCTGCTTTTTCCCCTCTGCCTTGGGGCAAACCTACACAAGCCTGTGAGTTCAGGGCATGAACCCTACTCCTACAATGTCACACGTGCGCCTGCCTGCCTGCCTGCCTGCCTGCCTGTGTAGGAAGGAGGGGAAGCAGACTCCCCAGCTGGAAGCAAGGGCGACTCTGTGGTTTCAGATGGGAGGATCGAGGGTGGGGGGGCGTGTGACCGGCAGAACTGGGCTGCGCCCCAGCCGCCCCATCTCATCGAGGTTGCTGAAAGGGAAAGGAGGCAGGCAGAGGGCTCAGGACAGTGGGACGCGGCCACTCTGCATCTTTCCCAGTGGTGGACAAGGACACGGAGGCCGTGCGAGGTTTACTTACCTTTTGATCCCCAAACACATGCTCTCTGCAGCAGCAAACCTACCCCCCACCATCGAGCTGATGCCGACTCACAGTGACCCTATACGACAGGGTAGAACTGGCCCTGTGGGTTTCTGAGACTCTGCTTGAGTGGAAAGCCCCACCTTTCTCCTGAACAGCAAACCTTACCATTCATCCCTCTCCTTACTTCCTTCCACTCATCAGTCAGCTCGTTTCCTCCCCTCTGACCACCAGCCCCTTTATCACTGTGCAGCAGGTGGGCTAGACGGACACCACCACAGCTGCCCAGGACGCTGTGACGCATTTGAAAGCAGGATGAGAACAAATTCTCGAACTCTGAGACCAGGCGTCCAGGGGCCAGCTTCTCTTCCTCGGCCATCTTTGAGAAAAATTAAATGGTGGTTGGGAAAGTTCGCCGAGTCTTGTCAATGCAGTTACTCTCATTCGCCGGTAGTGCCAGCATTCAAGCCCCGTGGACAAGCCTCTGAGCTCTGGGGGGAATTCCCCAGAATCCAGGGGAGGGCAGGAGGAAACAAGGGCTCAGAAGGGTCCCTGCTCTGTCCCGGGGCAGGGTCTGCTGCCTGGCTATGACCCCTGAATCTGGGTGGCTTCCTGCCCTGGAGTTGATTAAGTTCTTCAATGAACAAAAAAATTAAGATCAGTTAAATCAGGCTTTAGCAATATCGAGATGACTCTTGACAGGCCTGCCAACGATGAACAAGTGTTCCAGGGGCTTTTTGGCTGATAGCTGTGGCTCTTGGTGTCTCCGTTGTGAGGATCTGGGAGAGCCGGAACCTAACTGGACGGTCTCCTTTTCTCAGGTCTCACAGG